AAAAGGTAGTTAATATATATATATATAGATAGATAGATAGATATATTGATTGATAATATAATTGTTGTGGTTAATCAGAATTTTCAGAAAATTTTATGACAATGTTTATAGGTTGTTTATTCATTATATTAGTAAATTGAATTTTTTACATCCTTAAATAAGTCCATTGCACTATAGGCAATGGATTTATTTAAGTTAATAAAAAGATCCTCAAATTAACACAAATCAATTGTCCATCACATGTTTAAATATTCATGATTTTACTCAAAAGTAAAACTAGAAACATCAATTTGGGGCTAGAAGTATACTTAATTTAATTAGAAAAATCAGGCAGAGGCTATATATTGTACTTCACTGTCTGGTCAGTAATGTTTCTCATCATTTGTGACACCAACACAAGTACTGTATTGACTCATCACTCCAAATTGCAAGTGAAGTGTCTAAGAACAGATGCTCCTTATAAGAGTACATAGTAGCAAACATTAGATGTCTGTACATAACATCCCACACATGGGATTATGTTATGTTTTGTGGTTTGTTGAGTACTTTCTAATAATATGGATGTCTGTACACTAATGGTGCTGATAATTTTCCCAAATTATTTCTCTGACGGTCTCAATTAGTTTTTAGCTTTAGTAATGGTTAAAAAGACTTACAATTTTCTTTTACATTTCTTGTTCTGTATCCTCTCATAAATCACTAATCGTTGATCTTGGGATGTTTAGAGCTGTCGAGATGTCATATACAATCATCCTTCTGCATTGGAAATTGATTTTATCAAGATAATTTGTGTTCTCATAGTCATTAAAACAGACAGTAACATGATCAAATATTTATAATACAAGATATAACTATAACTAATAGTTCAGATAAAAATGGCTATCTATAATGAAACTGACTTCGTTGCATTTATTAATGTGTAAAGGCTAATTAAAAAGAATAGTCTGTGGTTCCTTATTTCTTAATCTAAGATAATGCAGAATTAGATATCAATAAGTAAACTTTCACTGTATCAATTAAATATACAATAAATTAATGAAAAGAGTTTAAGATAAGCAAAAATATACTTAAATATTTTAGAGAGAAGACATCTCAGTCCTCTCAAGATCAACAATTATGGATCTGTACATATCCTGGAAATAATCATTCAGATCAAGGGTAAAATAAAATTGATGTGAATAGTAAAAATTGTAATTCTCTAAATTTAAGATCATTTCTTTCTTTTAAAGGAATGGAAATGAAGATACATCAGAAGATTCAACAGCACATCCTCAGCAAGAAAACTTTGAAGTTTATCTTCAGACACTAATCAGCCAAGTGCTAGATCCAAATTTCATCACAGAAATCACTAAAGAGAATGGTTTGTTTTTCAACTTTTGATATTTATGATGGTGATGATAAAAAAGTTTATTCAAATCTATATTTTTGCAGATGAATACTTTTTGTCACACATGAAAGAAATTGAAGACATGTCTGAAGAGAGAAAGAAAAAAATATTTCAAAATAATAAATTTCCCGATGAAATAAAAACTGCAGTGGAAACATTTCCAAGACTTGAAATCTTACCAAATAATGAAAGTGAGGATAACTGCCAGGTCTGTATTGAAATTCATCTCATCTCAAAATTTTATGAATATTTAATGAATTTAATGAAGTTTTTCATGAACACAAATATTTTACTGATAGGTTTGCAATGAAGTAAAAAGTCAGCACACCTTACAGTATAGAGGCATGCCCTATGATCCGTCATCACTAGAGTCAAAAGAACTCTCATCCGAAGAACAGTCTCTTTCGCTCAAAAAGATACTGGTTTGTGGTCCATGTGCTCAGGCAGCAGTTTTATATAGTCATCTGCATCATCACAAATATAATTTTTATTTTAAGTGTAAAAAGAAGGTATGTTTCTTTTATGTATTAAATGTAAGGAAGGAATCTGTAAAAACAAATATATATTTACCTTTTTCTTTAAGGTTCAAGATGTAAAAAATAGTATGGAAAATAAGGAATCACACATGCTTTTAGAAGAATGCTTACAAGATGCTGCATGGGTAAACCAGGTAAATTAGAGATTGTCTTTGTATATTTAATAATATGAAAGGTATTTAAAATAATACTTTGTAAATTGCAGATGTTTCAAGAAATAAAAGATATGTGGGCAAAGGGTGACAAGACAAGGTGACAACAAACGCATGCTGGGAATTTACGATAGCCATGGTGCATGGTTAAAATTGTGCACTACATGAATGTGGTATAACAGCAAATTGTGCAATTTAGTTCAACTCCCCTTCTCTTTTAAAATAAATAGTCTACTCTACTATTAAATAAATTTGAACTCCTCACATGTGCAATGTTTGTTTGTTTAGTTTTTAGAATTTCTTAAAAAAAAAAAAAAAAATCGTGTATTAACTCGACATTCCTATTTTGTATTATTTTTATTGCAGCTTTTTTTATATCATGTGTATATAATTATATTTTACATAAGATCACACTGCCAATATGTCAATCCTCTCCAAGAAATTAGGGAAAAAAATTCTCGCACACTTATATTTCTTCTCGTATTTTTAACCTACCTAAACTCTTGTTCGGAAAATGTGTTAGCTTATATTTTCAGTTTTTAATTGTTTGGATGTAGTAAAGTGCCAAACTGTGACTTTAAATTTATAACTAAATCTTATTTCGTGCACACTTTCATGTGTTGAATGTTGTATCAAAAATGGCTGTCATTGTACAAAGTAATATTAAAAGGTAGTTAAAGTTCTAATTCTTTGATTTTTTGTCAGATATGTATTTTATAATAAATAGACCAATATTTAATGCTTCATTGAGAATTTATTTTTTTTTTCTTGCAGTCAGTCAGTCATTTTTAACAACCACACTTAGTTGATAAAAAAGCATTGGATAATATCAATAATATGGTGACTTATAAAAAGAAAGGAAAAAGCAAACGTTATATAGAGGTTGCTTTTAGAAAACAAAAGAACATTGTAAATGCATTGCTGTCGTCTTTTTTCTGGTAAGGAAACACACATACACACACCCACTCTTTGTGCAGGAATCGGAGAAAGTTTAGTGGTATCTGACTTCAAGCTGCTCAAACTTCTATTGGGGGAAGAAACAGTTGTTTTTGTAAAAAGTTAATGAACTGGAACAACTGGAATCTTCAAGTCATTTCACAAGAGCTAATTTATTTGTGTTTGCCTTCCTTTTCACAAGCTTTAAAGATTACCGGATGGTTATTGCAATGTTCATAGAGTTAAATGTTGACATGACTACTGATCCCAAAAGCCTGGTCCCACCAAAAGTTAGAACTTACAATCAACGGAACATCTACCAGGCTACATTTTTTTTTTTTGGTAAATATGGATATTAAATTTGGGTAAAACACAAAATTTCCAGTTTTCCACAGTTCACAAAAAATTCAACTATACATTTTTTTCTTTTTAAATAATGCATGCCTTGCAAAATCTGCCGCCACTGCCAAGTCCGAGAAGTTTTGTCTTTTTGGACATCAAATGGGACAGATTACTGTTGAGGTCTATAACCACCACGTCCGCCGCCTCTATTATTGCCGCCTCGCATTCCTCCACGTATTCCTAGATAAAAATAAAATTGAAAATTAATAATTATAAGAATTTGGTGTTTTGAAAACAAACCAAAATCTTACCACCACGAGGAGGCCTTCGGTAACCGTTGTATCCAGAAGAGCTACCAGAACTGTCTCGTCCTCCATATGAACCTTGATAATAACCTTAATGCAACATTGATGTAATTTATAATTTAATCATCATCACTAACAAAATAAATAATAAAAGCTTACCTCTTCCATTTCCATAGCTTCTACCTCTCAGATAATTAAAACTTCGTCCTCTGCCACCCCTTGATCCACGATTACTAAAACTGCGTGACTGGTGATTGTTTTGTGCATGGGAAGTATAATTGGCTGTTGGAATGATATGTATTAGAATTTGTGAAATAATATTTTTGTATTCATCTTAAGAATATTAATCATACTTTGGGATTCTGATTGATTTGCAGATTCTTGTTCCTGATCTGCCACCCTATTCTCTCCATTGCCAGTAGCTTCCTGTAACATTAAATAATGATTGCATTTTTTAGATGTATAGTTAATAAGAATTTAACATTTACAATACTCTTCTTGCATCTGCACTAAAATAAAAATAGATGGCCCAATGGCTAAGGTGGCCTAATCCTGCTGCTCAAGGAATCTGTTTGAGCTTGGGTTCCAAAACTTCAAAAATTTAAATTTCCTCAAGCAGTCTTATACATATATCTGGCCAAATATATGATATGTTTATTAAAAGGTTCTGTGCCAGTATAACAAAGATTTATATATATAAAACTTAGAAGCAAAATTAATTTTGAGCTTTTTATTTTTATTATTTCTATTAAGTTGTTGTCACAAAAATATAATGCAGTAATAAAACACAAATATATATGCAGTTTTGTGCACTGCTACAAATAAATCATTAAATATATTGATTGAATGCTTCAATTTTATAGTTTGAAAAGATCTTTCTTTTCTAACAGGTTACCACAACTTTAATGACAATATACAGTACAACTAAAAAGTTGATGTTATCTAAGAAGAACACTTAGATTATCCACTCTAGAAACGATAAGCGTATTTATTAAAATGTTTGCTATCTATTTAAATTGTTGCAAAGACAAAAAAAATCTGAAAGTTATGAGATCATAACCAAAAGTAGAGGAAAAGGTGGTATTATGGAACTACCCTATTTCGAACTGATAATAAAGGCGAACTGTAGCGGATTGTGGCTGAACTGCACTAGGCAGACATCCATAGCAAGGGGAAAACCTGTTTTACTTCAGTTAAACGGCTGTCCGTATTTAATCAGCAAATTTGTTTTTTTTTTTTTTTCAAAATTCGCAAGTTTTGAATGCTAAGTGAATTTAATTATTTTTAAAATATAAATCGTGTAGTCGTAGGTTCATTGGTGCATGTATTCTGTTCCATAGACTTAAGAGGTATAAGGACCTTGAATAAGTTCTCGCTGGTTTTTTGTGAAAATGAACACTTTATTTAAAAAAAGTTGTAATAAACACGTCACTGAAAGTATTGTCCATCGCTAGCCACTACTTTCTCCCATTGTTCTGGCAGCATTTGAATTCCATGTCGGAAAAACGACACGTCTTTTGAGGCTATCCAAGAATCAACCCATTTTTGGCATCTTCATAAGAATGGAAGTGCTGCTCAGCCAGGCCATGTGTCATCGATCGGAACAAGTGATAATCGGAAGGGATGTTGTCTGGTGAATATGGCGGGTGGGGTAGGACTTCCCATTTAAGTGTTTCCAAGTACGTTTTCACCGGTTGTGCAACATGTGGCCGAGCATTATCATGTTGCAAAATCACTTTGTCGTATCTTCTGCTCATATAGCAGCTGTTTTTCCTTCAATGCTTGGCTCAAACGCATCAATTGTAGTCAATAGCGATCTCCCGTGATGGTTTTGTTTGATTTGAGCAGCTTGTAATAAACTACACCTAGCTGGTCCCACCAAATGCAGAGCAAAAGCTTCAAACCATGGATATTCGGCTTTGCTGACGATGTTGATGCATGGCTGGGCTTACCCCACAATTTTCTACGCTTAGGGTTATCATAGTGTATCCATTTTTCGTCGCCTGTCACGATACGATGCAGAAAACCTTTCCTTTTCTGCCATTGAAGCAGCTGTTCACATGTGAAAAGACGCCATTTGACGTATCTCAGCTTCAACTCGTACGGCACCCAATGTCCTTGCTTTTGAATCATTCCTAATCCTTTTAAACATTTCGAAACTTGTGTGATCAACTCCTAATGATTCTGCAAGTTCAGCTAGCGTCTGACATGAGTCTTCATGAAGTAATGCCTCTAATTCCTTGTCTTCAAACTTTTTTGTTGCGCCAGATCATTCTTTATCTTCAACATCAAAATCATTATTTTTGAAGTGTCTAAACCAATCTCTGCATGTTGTTTCCGACAGAGCGTGGTCGCCGTAAGTCTCAACAAGAATTCTGTGTGCTTTAGCTGCAGATTTTTTTGAATAAAATAGTGCAATAAAATTCCCCGCAAATACTCTTTTTTTTTTGGCATGAAACTACACATGTTTAACACAATGAAAAAATAAGTTGTTTACACTTCGGTGAAATGACATATACTGAATTTCAAGGTTGCTTATTGTACTTCCTTACAGATGCATCACCATCTAAAAATAAACACACGTGGTTCTGGTAANAAAAAATAAGTTGTTTACACTTCGGTGAAATGACATATACTGAATTTCAAGGTTGCTTATTGTACTTCCTTACAGATGCATCACCATCTAAAAATAAACACACGTGGTTCTGGTAACGCCATCTGTTAAAAAACAGCGAGAACTTATTCAAGGTCCCTATACATATTAATCTGTGTGATGTTCACGTTTTTTAAATTTTGGTCTTGACAGACATAAGTTAAATCAAGATGGCGATGCGTGAAATACGGACCCCATTGGTGCTTTTATAGTAATATGGAACTCAACTCCTCCAAACTCTCTCTTTGCAAGCAGACATTCGTCCAGAGCAATTTGCGAAAAAGACACTAGGTAGAAAGTCAATTCTTCCTGAGAATATCGAAAAAGAGCTGCTGGAATATATATTGTTGATGGAGGTCATATTTTTTAATTATAAAAGCATTTTTGCGATAAAATACATTGGAGTAAATAATTTTGTAACTATTTAACATTTTTTGTACTTTCCTATTTGTTTTTGGCTACATTAAAGCATGTTTTGAAAACATACAGTAAGGTTCCATATTACCACCCGATTTTCTCTAAGCCTACTTTCTGACTTTTTGTACAAAAGCCTTAAAAAACCATACTTATAGTTACACTAGCAAAAAATCCAATTAGGAACATTTAGTTTAATACAGGGTTGTGGAGTCGTGTAAAAATCTACCGACTCCAACTCCGATTCTGACTCTTCCTTACCATCTGACTCCGATCAAGGGAGGACTTGTTACCGAAAGAGACTGGAAATTCTGATGCCATCACGTGACCTCAGAATAAAAGATTCAATAAAGATAGAACGTAGAAACTTTTTATTCCAATGCTAACAGACTCCTCTAAGTAATATATAAATATGTATTCGATAATTTTTACTTTTCCGGCTGTTATACAGAAGGAAAGTGTAGCGCTCGGTCAAAAAATGATCCTTCCCAAATTTTTACATTTTTGGACTCAGGACAACTTGAAATTTCGAGATATGCAAAAGATTTGAGTTTTTTTTTCTATATGTGTGGATGTTAGACTGTGTGTGAGGGGCATAATTTTGTTTACCCTGTTTGAAGCCTAATAATTTCTGTGGTCAGAGTGGTTGAAATCAGGGTCAGATGGTTTAACACAGGAGTTAATTATTAAGCGTCAAAGTGGTTGAACTAAATCATGTCCCCATATACATTTTAACATCTTAGGCGAGAACATCTTAATGAGTTTTACTGTACTATTATAAAATGACAAAAAAAGCTTACTTTGAGGGTAGAGATGAGTTTTATTTTTTATTTTGAACGCTAATAACGAGTAAAATACTCATTAAGAGAGATGACACATGACCCCTTTTATGTCTTCACTCTGTCGACCTTTAATTAAGAACCAAAATTTAATAGTATTAATGCCCCTTTATACGCAAGCAACAGTGCTACGTTTTGTTTCTTAAACTTTACCCATTCTGAGATATTGTTTAATATCTCAGAACAGAAAATAAAAAAGTTAAACAAATTAGACGCCAACACATACATGCATGCGAATTTTTCCTCTGAATTTTTATTGACTTTTTTGAGGGGTTCGGGAGGTCTCCAAACATGTAGATTTGAAAAGAAAAAAAAACCTGGAGGGTCAAATTTGACACAATTCCAATACTTTTCCATTTTATATACATAACAAGTTGAGAAGTAAAAAGGAGTCGGAGTCGGCAGATTTTTTGACAACTCTGGCTAAAACATCAAAACTCCACGACTCCGACTCCACAGCCCTGGTTTAATAGTTACCAGTACTTTTCGCACAAAAAATGTGGGTGTAGTTATGATACCTTGTTTACAATTCACTAAAATGTAATTGGGGTTCCATAATACCACCTTCTCTTCTACTCTTATTGAAAAATGAAAGGATTTTCTCTCTTTATATCAGGGATTGCCAATGTGGTCAATATCACCCCCCCAGGGGTAGATATAACATTATTGGGGGGGGTCGATGAAAAGACTAAAACTTACAAATTTTGAACTGAATATTGCTAATCTTGCTAAGGATTATCAAGTTTATCCGTCTCATTGATTGTCAGTTACAAAAATCATTATTAACATATGTACAATAAATGTAAAAAATGTAAAATTAAAATAGAAAGAGCTTTTTTTTGCTTATAACAAACTTTTTGGTGGGGGTTGATGTGAGGTTTTAAAAAGCAGTAGAGGGTCAATAATCAAAAAAGTTTCTTCTTCGTCGCAGCTCTCTCAAAAACACCAGAGAAAGTCACCTGTACAAAGATGTCAGAGATGCTCTGGCATATTGGCTAAATCAAATTCGTTCATCAAATCTTCCTGTTTCAGGACCGATATTGAAACAAAAGGCGATCGAAATAGCTGGGGTACTTGGAGTAGAAACCAAGTTTAGCGCCAGTGATGGATGGTTAGAGAGATTTAAAGGTCGCCACGGCATGACTTCTCAATGTTTCAAGGGAGTGAAGAGTGTCAATTATATACAAGACAAATTTAAAAAGCTGGATGACTTCCAAAATTTGGGAGGAAATTCTTCACAAATACGACTCCCAATTTGTTCAGCAAAAAAGGAATGTAGCATTCGTTGTTGATAATTTTCCTGCTCATGAAAAAGTTGAAGGATACAAGAGATTAATGTGTTTACCCTACCACAGATGCCACTGCTGTACTGCTACTGTTGGATCAGAGTATTATTCATTTGTTCAAACGTCATTATCGGAAGCTTATTTTGGATTTGATTCATGCAGTATGTGAGAATACGGACAAGGGTCAAGCCCTCTAATTGTCAGATCTAAAGGATCTGCTCACTTTGTCACTGG